TTCAGGGATGTGTGAGAGGAGATGATCTAATTCCTCCAAGAAGTCCCCCAAGGCGCCTGGTGGACGGTAGAGAACAACAATGGTTAACTGTATAGGATGGGTTACTGTGACGGCATGGAACTCAAAGGTGGAAGGAGTAAAGTTAGGTAGCTTGAAGAGGGAAAAGCTCCATTTGGGAGAGAGCAGGAGACCAGTGCCACCTCCTCTGCCAGTGGGTCTGGGTGTATGGGAGAAGGAATATGCAGTGGAGAGAGCTGCTGGGGTGGATGTGTTGGATGGAGTAATCCAGGTCTCAGTGAGAGCAAGGAAATCCAGAGACTGCAGGGAGGTGTAGCCAGAGATGAAGTCAGCCTTAGGAACAGCTGACTGGCAGTTCCACAGGCCACCTGAAACTAGATGTTGGATCTCAGTGGAGCACGTGGGATAGACGAGAGCAGGCCGGTTATATCGATTACGAGATACACGGGGCCAGTGATAATTGCGAGAAGACACATGAACAGGAATGGAGAAAATACACATGATTATAGCATGAGGGGCTAAACAACAAAATTAAAAATTAAAAACACCAACGATACTTAGCTCAATCAAAGTAGGATTTGCCTCCTCTTTGCCTCCCTCGTGACTCCTGTAGGACTCTAATGTCTTTGTCAGTCTTACTCCTGTAGGACTCTAATGTCTTTGTCAGTCTTAGCCTGTCTGCCGCTGAAGCTGACGCTCCAGGAAGGAGCTACCCGATAAAATAATTTAGCATTTGGTCTTTTGGGCCAAGGTATGTTATATTGTGTTTCCTTTTGTTTTCTGAATGTAGGTGAGCTTGTCCTAACCATTCATTTGTATAGGTCAGGGGTGGCCAACCCGCGGCTCTCGAGCCGCATGCGGCTCTTTTTTCTAGTTTCATGCGGCTCTTCAGTTCATATCGAATTGTATATGTGTGAGTTTGGGGGAGAGACACTGACTCCTGACTAGTGTTGCACGGTGTACCGATACTTGAAAGGTATACCGCGATACCCTGCCGTTAAAAACGCTACGATTCCTCCGTTTCATTAGTAGGCCTATCGGTAGGCCTACTTTAAGAATGACGGGGAAAAGTACTCCGGTGAGAAAGCGCCGTTTTAATAAGAGCCGTGTGTTCAGCGCTCTGCTTCCAATCCCTGCACTGCAGCCGTGCCTGCAGTCCCGCCCCTCTCAAGCACGTTCTAAGTCCCTCCCCTCTCTCAGCCATGCGCTAGCTGCTAGAGCATGTGAGAAAACGAGAAGCATCGCTGCAAGTGGGAGTGCAACTGCCGCTGCGCCTCGGCTTGTTGACAAAAAAGACGCCAGAAGCTAAATGTTGATGTATTTTAGCTATATCTCTGACAGTGAGGTCAAGCCTACGGACACCATGAGGCCTGTCTGTAAGACATTTATTAATTTTATTTAATACGAATTATTGTCATTTATTTTATTTATTGTTCTCATTGTTTACAAGGTTGTGTTATGGTTCTGGTTCTGGTGTGAAATAAAGCACAATAATTACATTTAAGACTGTTTCCCTTTTTTTAAGAAAAGTATCGAAAAAGAATCGGAATCGCAATTCTTGACTTGGTATCGAAACCAAAATGTTGGTATCGTGACAACACTACTCCTGACAGTTAAACCTGATATTTAGTATGTCTGTTAAGTATTGAATGTTGATAATTCTGACCAGCGGCGCCGGATTCATTTCAGAAGTGGGGGGGGGCCAAAAAGTGTGTGTGTATGTGACATAGCCTACTTGCCAACCCTCCCGATTTTCGCGGGAGACTCCCGTTTTCCTCCCGGGGTCATATTTATCCCGCATTTCTCCCGATTTCTGACTAAATCTGATTTGTTTCATTCTAACATAACGAACCAAATGTTACTGTTTCCACTCGGACTTCAATACAGCTACACCGTTGTTTGGTTTCCATGGTAACGTGTCTCTTTAGTAGCGCGAGCAAATGAAAGTCTGAGAGGGTCTTCAGGAGGAAGATAGTCAGAGAAAACAGAACAAGAATGGACAACTCAACCCTCTGCTCACTCCTTTCCTGTAAATTAAACTATAGGCTACAGACCAGCCCCACATATGACAGCGCAGTTGCTCATTCCATCTCTTCTTTTTTCCTGCTACGCTCTTGTTTGACAAGCTGAATGTTGACTGGTGTTTGACTGAAGTAAGCTCTGTGAAAAGTTCCAGTTATTAACTCGGTATTTACAAAGCTGTCATCTCCACATTTGGAGAAAGTTACAAGCCGTTTGACAGCTGCAAATCTGCATATTTCACAGAAGGCTCGTTTAGTGGTTTTGCAAATAATTAACCACTCTCTGTTTTTGTACCATTCTGCATTGAAGTACCTTCTCTTTGTCCAAATAAGCTTGTATTTGCCCGTCACAATGTCCCGACAACAAACCTCCATGCAGTCGGAACCAGCCTGTTTCGGTTCAACGATGCCGGCGGCGGCGGTTTTGACAGCCTCTGCGGCCGCAGAGCTGCTGCTGGGGTTCATCTGGCTGCGCTGGTTCTATGGTTGAAGGGCCAGGCTCCGGAGTGTGGATGTCAGGAATGTGACATTCAAGTTGTTGAATTTCAGCTTAGTTTGACTGTATTTTGTTTTCTTATGCGCCGGTTCTTCTGACATGTTTGCAAGTGTATCTATCTAGGTTAACGGCTGACACACACTGAACAAAGTAACACACAACGTAAACAACGTAACAAATAAACACATCTAAGCTTTGTTATTGGTTGTAATGTACATGGATACATTTGAATGGTGTGACAATGTCCTATTTGATTGGATTAAAATGTACATATTCTTCCTGTTATGTCTGCCTGCTGTATTTTACCTAATGCAAAGTGACCTGCTGCTCCAACCCAGTCTCACAAAAAAACGTGTAATAACTACGTTGGTCCACAACGTAGGACGTAGTATTTCTACAAAAACGCCTCTGAAATTGTAAGATCCCTACTTTTTTTTTCACCATTCACTTCCAATGGCTATGTCACGTGATCTTCAAATTTCTCCCTGCGGAAAAAAAAACATGGCCAAACTTCGTTTTATTCTCGGTGTAAAATGCCTATTTTAAAGTTAGTTTGGCCATTAAAATGCGTTTTGATGTCATTTGATGCGAGAAATATGAGTTGTTATTTCAGATTATGTGTGCAGTGGATGCACATGATCTTTAGTTTGCTAGTTATTACGAAGATTACTTCAGGAAATTGTGTCTATACAACGTTTTCATTGTTACCAAGGTGGTTGCTAGGGATGCTGCTATCGATATTATTTCTGTTATGTTGTGTAACTGTTTAATGGTGTTATCTTTATTGCTACCCCCTTCCCCGTCAATTTATAGTGTTGGTCCACAGCGCAAACGTATTAGTTTAACTAAATACGCATCTAAAATTGTGGCATAGATACATTACGGAAAGAGGAGATTCCTAGCTTTCTAATGATATCAGGATTGTTTTTGTACTATATTAAGCAAAATATGTCACATTATATAATGACTGTCACCGAGTCATCATTTTGAGAAAAAGGCCTTTAAAGTTTCCTCTTCTCTGGATCGATCTGATTGATTATTAGCGGAGCAAATGATCAAAGTATATATTTTCGTTTGGATTACTGGTCTGGGGGAAGCTCGCGAGTGTGTGTGTGTATACGTGTGTGTGTTTGTGTATTTTTGCGTTTGTTTCCCGGGAAAAACTTTCAGGAGAAACACCGGCTGTTGTTATGCTTGCTGTGACGTCAAGTTACTCCGTTCTCCGCTAGTAATTATGCCGTTACAAGCTTCAAAGCTGTATTTATCATCTGAATTTGCCGAAACAAGTTTAATATTCTGAAAGCCAAGACTTTGTTTATTTGAAATCAGATGAAAACAAACTGTAACGGACCCTGCGGTGTTATCTATGATTACTGTTCCTTACATTCATAATGTCAGCGGAGGGAGGGGAAACGGCGCTGTGGAAGAGCAGAGTGGCGAGTGAGAGGCGAGCTGTGTTCTTCCCTTTACAAGCTTCAAACATGCCTGTAGCTAATGAGATTGAATATAACAATCAAAAATAACAAAATATACACAGCTAGATCAGATGGCGTTCTTTTTAGATGCGACTTTAGAGTAGAGGGGAATTATTGAAACGGGATGTGTACAGTGTTCCGTGGCATCCGCTGCTGCGAAATTGTGGGGCAGGGCCGTAAAGTGGGGGGGCCAATGGCCCCCTGGCCCCCCTGCTTCCAGCGCCCTTGATTCTGACATAATTTGGCCGGTCAAAGTTGTTTGGGCTCGGATAAAATCGCTCCGTTATTTTCGTCCCGTGTTACTTTCGTCCCGGCTCTCCCCCATCTCCCCACGTATGTGTGGTGTCAGGTGTCAGTATGAGAGGATGACAGCGCGTCTAATTTTGATGTGGCCCAAGAGCCAATCACAATAATACCTGCGATGCAGTGAACCAATCACCTTTGAGGGGGGGGAAATCTATCGTTGATTAAACACTATCCAGTGTTTTCCCCTACCATTGTCTTGGAGGGGTGCTGCGCCCCTCCAACGCAGCCCCGCGCCCACAAAATATATATCATTTTTGTTTTAAATATATAGCACCAAATTGCAAATAATCTATAACTACTGTCACGTTTCACATTGAACATGTGCTCTTTTATTAAATAAACTAAACGCTTTCATTTTTAGTTGTGAGTTTAGTGTTTTTGACCCTAAGAAACACTGATGCATTAATCAATAACAATAATCCACAGCTCCTCTCTCTGCTCCAGAGGATTTAAAAAATATACATCCCAATGCCACAAAAATGCATCAGTGACGTGGTTGAAATCTTGTCTCCAGAAAACAAAAAACTGAAACAAGCGGTATCAGTGACTGTGTGTTTGATGTGGCTCTTTGCAGTAACATAGAAAAAATGTGGCTCTTAACCTCTGACTGGTTGGCCACCCCTGGTATAGGTGTTTCAGTGGCTTTTGTTTATTTAACTTTTTAAAAAAAAAAGACAAACAACACTGGTTTTAGTTTCAATTTATTTCAAGTGATGCTAAAATCAAAATTCATGTTTTAAAAAACACCACTCCATGTATATCCCAAACACACACAATATCTATAGTCACCCAAACTCTGTCAGATACAGTGAATCCCTTTGTTAAGTAGCCACTTGGTTAATAAATAGGACCCAAAACACCACCCAAGCCTCGATATGCATCCGATTCAGGCCTGTGGGTTTTATAATGTGCCTCCTTCAATCCTGGTCCTTTGCATTAGAATAAAAATACACCTAATGGACGGAACAAAATGCACTTTTAAATGTGTTTTAAGAAAGAATGACAAGGTGTGAAAGCATCATACAAATGTGCCTTATGTAATTGCATACTCTTCAAAAATGGTTCCTAATGTTGCATCACGTGTCAGGAAAGCTCTATATAGACAGTACAGCCCTACGAAATAAAAAAGTCAAGGAACGCATGGTGAAATGTGACGGTGAGTGACCGAGCACAGAAACAATGAGTGTGCATACAGTGGAGGAAGGCGTGTGGAAGACATCTCATTTCTGGTGGAGGGACATTACACACCACAACATGTAATTCAGGTAAGGAGGCAGGTGTTTGTGGAGAGGTAGACAAATAAAACAAGCACCTGGTTCCTTCAAAGCAGCTCTTATCCTTCGCTCATTCATAGAAAAATGGCTTTCTGGTCGTTTCTCCCAAACGCTTTGCTGCCTGCTGCAGATTGGTTTTTGGTTGAAACCCTGTGAACACTTCTGTGATCTGATAGCGCTGTGCTACTGTCATTGCTGTTGTTCCTCTAAACCTGAAATATTACCCACATTTATTCTCCACATCTGTCTGATTCGCGCCTCAAAAAGCCTGATAGTCGTCACGCTGAAACCTGGACGGAGCATCAGCAGCGAGAGTGGAAAGAAAGTGCTTTCCTACAGTTCTTCCTGCACAGTTTTTATAGTATGTTGTTCCTGGGTTTTTCACTCAGCCTCCCTGCGTTTAGGCTCAGCAAGAGTTGGACTAAGCAGAGGAACTTCATGATACTCTAAAAACCTTGATACTACAGTCAGGGCTGCACAATGAAGACTCAAGACATCTCAAGAGCTTTAAGACTTGAACAGTTCTTGAACAAAGTCGGCACAACTTTTGGACTCCATCAGTGGATGCAGTTTGCTCAGGAAGTCAAGTTACGTGGAACTTATAATCAATGTTAATGTCACTCAATCTATTAATATTAATAATGAGGGTTAGGGTTAGGATTACTCATTGATATTTACATAGTTATCGATTGCATTGAGGTTAGAATCTGCAGTTAAAAATAAAGTTCCCGATCAAAATGCATCATCAATTAGGTGTCAAAGGAACTGTATTTACTTTTTTAAATATTGAAACTGACTCTTAAAACTCATCTATTAACTGCCCCAAAGAGATCCAATGGAAGTCATGTCTTTAGGTATCTTTGCACATTTTGGACACTGATTCTTTATCTAAATCTTAAGGTGGAAACCATGAATGCTTTAAAGTAATTAAGGAATATATACGTTTTTATTGAATTGTTGAATTTGGTCGTGTTTGTCCTAACCCTAGACAAGAGTTACTGCCTCAGTGGTTGAAGGAAAGCGTCCTTTAAGTAAATGTATCCAATATAGAGCGGTGCAGTGATGAAGTATTTTTGTAGGCCGACCCGAAGTACGCTGCTGGTTCCCTCGACAAAAAAGCAACAGGATTTCTCCACAGGATTTTGGAAAATAAGATCTGTGGAAAACGAAGCTGTTTGATGAATGCACGTTTTGTTCAGCCGGATAATATCCACGTCTACCCTACTGCCAGAAGCAACATGCTAACGTTATGCTATAAAGGAACTAGAGCCGAGTCCAGCAGCACGACTTCAACGTCACGCCAACTTAAGATCCATATTCAAACATACAGATTATAAATGGAACGAGTTGAAGCGTTTGTTTGAACAGTCTGCAGGAGGCAGGGACTTGCTTTCAAGCAGAACAGAAACTAACTTAGAGGAGTGTTTACGTGTTCGGCGTAATGACGTACAACGTCCTCCACAACTTCTGTAGTCCTATTCAGCCACTTGGTAACAACCATCGTTTCTCAGACACGTGAAGTCTTCAGAAATCACCAGTGGGGTCACTGCTGATGGATTTAATGTCGTAGAACAAAACGTGATCCGTCTCTTCAATGTGTCTCAACCACAGACCTTATTTCCAGCTATTTTCCTAGATCTTATGGAGAGATCCCATTGGCTCTGAGACGAGGGAACAGGAAGTGGTGAAATGCTGACTCACTTCCTGGTTTTAGGACTCGTTCCTATTTCCACCAATGAATCTAAAAGCAACCTGATCTCCCGTGAATCAGTTTGTGCAGCCCGCTCACACATGGGAGGAAGTCAAAGACGAGGTTGTAGAGCTGGATCTAAACCGTACAGTGCATTCCTTCTGATGACACAAAGTGATATTGAACAGATCATTTCTGCATCGATTATAAAAAAACAAAAAGCTTTGCAGTTTGCAGTCATTGTACAAGTTGAAGAGTTCCTGTGCAAAAAAAGGTGCAGCTTCCCTCGTACAGTTCTGCAGGATCCACAGGTTTGTTTCCAGAAACCTTCGAAAGAAAATAACCCATAAATGCTGGAGTAATATCTTCCTGACAGCAGCCATTGTAGAAAGCCCCTCGCCGATACTAGGTAATGTTTGCTCATTATTATTATGGGTAAACCTTTTATACATGCAGTTTTATTGAGCTGTCAAAAGGTTTAATGATTTAACACTTTAGCTAATTGGATTACAGATCCCATGCAAGCTCAATTAAAGAGCCATTGTTATATTTGAATGGATTTGAGGCTACTTAAGGTATAAGGATATGAAAATCAACACAAAGAATGGAATTGCTTTTTTCAGAAACGTTTTTGTCAAACAAGAATCCCAAAATGTCCGCATTAAACATTTGAGATGTATTCTTTATTTTTGTGCATGTTTCCGTACGTTTTCTTAAGACATGCAATCTCTATAATGAACCTTTTATTCCTTATTGTTGACCATATTTTCCACCTAAAATAAAATAAGATCTCTTTCCTTGGCCACCAATCAGCTACTCTGAGACACGGGGGTAAGCAGTCGGTGAATATTGGATAATTCAATGGAAAAAGGCAAAAGAGTTTCAAACTACCATTTATCCAAGTATTTGACTTAGAAAAGCTGCAGTGTGACCCACATACTTTAAGAGTCGTGTTTACAGAGTCAATGTTCCCTTTTTGGTCCCATCTGCCAAATATTGAAAAATAACCCAATAACCAGATAGAGTTATTGTTTTATTCCGGGATGGTGAAACTTTAGAAGATCCAATACTGGACGAGTACGTAGATTATATTTCCCACTCATGGACTTAGGCATCCATAGACATGTTTCAAATGGGGGGGGGGGGGCCAATCAGCTACTCTGAGACACGGGGGTAAGCAGTCGGTGATGGTGGTGAAAATTAAGGTTTTCTACTAGAAATTCATGAAGGTTTTTATGCTCATAACGGTTAAGGCCAGCGAGATAAGTGTGTTATACATATCGTTTTATTATCTCCACACTAATTTCCCCAGCCACGGTGTAATCGCAATCACTTTAAGGCTCACAGACGTTTTTTAAGATGGTAAACAGTGCCTTTTAGAGAGGAACTTTTAATGCATGTTGATGGGCTGAGAGTAAAGCCTTGTAAGCCCAGATGTCCTCAAGGGGTCACTTGCACAATGAAGTGATCAAGAAAACAAACAGCGGATTATGTTTTCTAGTTAATGCAATCACTGCGACTGCAACTATTTGTCTGTTTGAAAAGTTAGCGTAGCGTCTTCTATCATTTATTTACTCTAAAAATAGCATGACGTTTTGATGGACACAAGTTTTTGCAGGCACTCTTCTGTGTTTCTACGAGGTTAAGGACTATTGTATCTCTCAAAAACGTTCCTATCATTGTTACAGTACCTGCACTGACCCACACTTTATTCAATTCATCTCTAAACTGCTGACGAGTGACAGGTGTGTTGTTTTTAAGGAGGTAGGGCTTCTACAATGGCTAGAAATGTGAGGCTGCGTTCACAACAAGCATGTTCTGAACAGTTTATCTGCGTTTAATAATCAGCTTTTTCAACATAAAGCTTCAGGAAATAGATTTAGAAAAAGCTCAAACGTGTTCAATAAATTAGCTACATGTTCGTTAACAGAGTAACCTGGTATTATAAGTATACTTCTGAAAAAAACACAAATACAAAAAAAGTACGACAAAGTTTCCCCCTCTTGTTCTGACGGCGATAAACAAAAAAGGCAAACGAGCGACCGCACTTTAAACCCTTCTGATCAGAGAGTGGATATCGATGACGTCGTTCTCACGTCAGCCAATCAGAGCCAGTGATGGATCAGGTAACAGAAACAAGCCCGGGATTCTCAGAGTCCAGCCTAACACTCGGAGCTGCCGTTGTCCTTCAGGACTTCTTCCTGTCCGGGTTCAGCGTGATCGACTCCGTTCGTCTCGACACATTTCTCAGGCGCAGTTTGATCTTCCTCGTCCGCACTGTGGAGACAAGACAAACAGATGGAAACTGTCAGAGAGTGAGATATCGGTTGTAGAGATGTTTTGCCTTCTCTCCAATGTAATGGAGCTAAATGGTACTTTCTTGCACACAATGTTGCAAGGGATCACAGTATAAGAGCTAACAGGGTAAAGCATTGGTTCCTGTACGAAAAATCTAACTGGTCCCCGGCTTGAGCTTCAACCTCAGGATCCATGTATCTGTGATCCTCTCCAGAATGGAAGTAGTCATCACATACAGTACAGAGCATCAACTAGTTCCTGAACAGTGTCCTTCACATGCTGATATCCAAGAGAGGGAGTCACACAGTCACAAGATGGAGGAATAGAAAGCAGTATTCAATGTTTACTTCAGATTAGCTCCACGTCAGAAATGAGCATGCTTGTCATATGTCTATCTCCATAGAGGCTGAATCATCATGTTAATCACATAGCTATCATATGCCTCAAACAGTCCTGATGCTCTTCTAGGTAATCACACATCCTGTCATGTTCTCAGCTACAGTTGGGATACCTTTGTTATCATGTTGCTCTCAGATTGGAAGAGTACGTTCAGTATTTTCACAACACTGTTTGCTTCTCTCTCTGACCTGTTGGAGCAGCCGTTGCTGGTGGAACTCTCTTGAGCTTCAGACAGCGAGCTGCAGGACCTCCTCTCCTGCCAGGACCCGGCTCTGGGCTCTTTGGTCTCGGAACTTTTCCTCCGGGCCACCACGGCAGGTCCCGGTCCGGACCCCCGTCTCTCCGGACTGACCCGGGGACCGGCAGAGTCCGAGGGGATGCTCAGACCCCCCGAAACCTCTGGATCTTTCCCCGATTCGCTGCTGGTTCGCCTCCCGTTCAGACTGTCCAGAGAGGAGACGTGGCTCATCTGACCCTCACGCTCATCTGCAGAGGAACCAGAAGGAAAAGAGAGGATAACATCTTTCTTTGTTATTTCATGATATTGTTTTCTTAGATTCAATTCAAGATTCAAGGCTTTTATTGTCATTTGTAAATATCTACACTGTAGATATGTCAATGAAAATCTTAGGTCACAGGCTCCTCCAACAGTTTAACACAATACAACAGATAATAGTGCAAGTAAATAAAACAGGGTATATGCAGGAATCCTGAAGTCAAATGTAATACCTTTTAAGACCCTTTCCATACATTTTAAGACCTCATCGCCACTTTGAGTTGTAACCGGTTACCTTGGCGACACACTTTACCTCACATTGACTATATACAGTATTGATTGTCCTTCCTCCTTATCTTCCAACCATTTTCGGTATTTTTGGAACTTTAAGTATTTTTGGAATTTACGGTATTTTTGGATCTTTAAGTATTTTTGGAACTTTAAGTATTTTTGGAACTTTAAGTGTTTTTGGAACTTTAAGTGTTTTTGGAACTTTAAGTATTTTTGGAACTTTATGTATTTTTGGAATTTACGGTATTTTTGGATCTTTAAGTATTTTTGGATCTTTAAGTATTTTTGGATCTTTAAGTATTTTTGGAACTTTAAGTATTTTTGGAACTTTAAGTATATTTGGAACTTTAAGTATTTTTGGAACTTTATGTATTTTTGGAATTTACGGTATTTTTGGAACTTTAAGTATTTTTGGAACTTTAAGTATTTTTGGAATTTACGGTATTTTTGGATCTTTAAGTATTTTTGGAACTTTAAGTATTTTTGGAACTTGAAGTATTTTTGGAACTTTAAGTGTTTTTGGATCTTTGGACCCTTTCCATACATTTTAAGACCTCATCGCCACTTTGAGTTCTAACCGGTTACCTTGGTGACACACTTCACCTCACATTGACTATATACAGTATTGATTGTCCTTCCTCCGTATCTTTCAACCATTTGGACGCAGACTTGCATTTCCCCATAACGATGTTGTTTAACAACCGGCGTAAACGGAGCTTCGCACGCTATCAAGCAGTGAGCGTGCGATGTCCTGTTCAGATGACGTCAAACCCAACGGGATGCCATCAATAAACTACACAGCATCACACTACACACCTACGCCATGATTACATTCAGGCAGACTGTAGAACACAACCTATTTGGACCATTTATATACTTAATGAAAACAAGCTACAAAATGTAACACCTTGGAAAATGCCGTTTAATACTTTTTAATAGCCTTGATTTTCGCTAAATTGATTTATCAACTTTTAATACTTTTTAAGACCCCGTAAAGACCCCTGTAAAATAGAATAGAAATAGTGCAAGGAGAGTCTATTTACAAGTAATTGGAATTTGATATATTAGATAAATAATTTGTAAGGTGCAAACAGATTAATGTTATGGATGTTCTTCTTTCAAAAGTTGTGCTTTTTTACATTACATTACATTACATTGCATTTAGCTGACGCTTTTGTCCAAAGCGACTTACAATAAGTACATTCGACCAGGAAGACACAACCTTGAAGAAAACAGAATCATATAAGTATATCAGGTTTCATAGAGCCAAACATTTCAAGTGCTACTCAACTGGCTTTAGGTAATCCAGTCCTTTATTGGTATAAAAGTGCTTCGTTAATCGTTCTAACGCTCGAAGTGGAGTCGAAAGAGATGAGTTTTCAGTTTGCGCCGGAAGATGTGCAAGCTATCTGCCGTCCTGATGTCAATGGGGAGCTCATTCCACCATCTTGGAGCCAGGATAGCAAACCCACGTGTTTTCGCCGATGGGAACTTGGGTCCCCCTCGCAGCGAGGGCGCAACGAGTCGTTTGGCTGATGCAGAGCGTAGTGCACGCGCTGGGGTGTACGGTTTAACCATGTCCTGGATGTAGGAAGGGCCAGATCCATTCGCAGCATGGTAAGCAAGTACCAGTGTCTTGAAGTGGATTCTAGCAGTTACCGGAAGCCAGTGAAGGGAGCGGAGGAGCGGAGTGGTATGGGAGAATTTAGGAAGGTTGAAAACCAGACGAGCCGCTGCATTCTGGATGAGCTGCAGAGGTCGGATGGCACATGCAGGTAGACCAGCCAGGAGGGAGTTGCAGTAGTCTAGGCGTGAGATGACGAGAGCCTGGACCAGAACCTGAGTCGCTTTCTGTGTCAGCTGGGGACGTATCTTCCTGATGTTGTAAAGCGTGTATCTGCAGCAGCGGGTTGTAGCAGCGATGTTTGCAGTGAAGGACAGGTTGTTATCTAGGGTCACACCCAGATTCCTTGCAGTCTGAGTCGGGGAAACAACTGAGGTGCCGATGTTGATTGTCAGGTCAAGAGTTGGACAATCTTTTCCCGGGAGGAAGAGCAGCTCAGTCTTGTCAAGGTTGAGCTTGAGGTGGTGAGCAGACATCCACTGAGAGATGTCAGCTAGACAAGCAGAGATGCGTGCGACGACCTGGGTCTCTGAGCGGGGAAAGGACAGAATTAATTGGGTGTCGTCAGCGTAGCAGTGGTAAGAAAAACCATGCGGGCTAATGACTGATCCGAGCGAGTTTGTGTACAAGGAGAAGAGGAGGGGACCAAGAACAGAGCCCTGAGGGACCCCCGTAGTTAATTGACAAGGGTCGGACTCAGACCCTCTCCAAGTCACCCTGTAGGTACGGTCTTTCAGGTATGAGGTGAGGAGGGAAAGTGCAGAGCCAGAAACTCCAAGTTTTTGGAGAGTGCGAAGGAGGATCTGATGATTCACCGTGTCGAATGCAGCAGACAGGTCCAACAGGATGATGACAGAGGAGAGGGATGCAGTTTTGGCAGTGTGCAGTTCCTCCGTGACAGCAATGAGAGCAGTTTCTGTGGAGTGACCTGCCTTGAAACCAGACTGGTGCGGATCCAGAAGGTTGTTCTGATTGAGATAACAGGAGAGTTGTTTAAAGACAGCGCGTTCAAGTGATTTAGACAGGAACGGGAGGAGAGAGACAGGCCTGTAGTTTATAACATCAGACGGGTTGAGAGTGGGTTTCTTTAGGAGAGGGTTTACTCTTGCCTCCTTGAGACTGTTTGGAAAGTGACCAGAAGTTAGAGAAGTGTTGATGAAATGGGTGAGAAACGGTAGAATATCAGGAGCGATAGTCTGAAGGAGGTTTGAAGGGATAGGGTCCAGAGGACAGGTGGTAGGGCGGGCAGAGGTAATGAGGGTAAGAACCTCACTTGGAGAGAGAGGGGAAAAGGAGGTTAGTGTGTTGGTGGAAGGAAGGTCTGGTGACCCAGCGGTGAGTAAAGGTGAGTCAGAAAAAGAAGAGCGAATATCATTAACCTTTTTTTCAAAGTGGGTAACAAAGTCGCTTGACAGAAGTGAGGAGGGGGGAGGAGCTTTTGGAGGGTCCAAGAGGGTGGAGAAGATGGAAAATAGTTTTTTAGGATTGGAATAGGAAGTTTGGATCTTATCTTGAAAGAAAGTGCTTTTTGCCTGAGAGATCGAAGCAGAGAAAGAGGAGAGGAGAGCTTGATAGGTTAGGAGGTCGTCACGGTGTTTGGATTTCCACCATTTCCGCTCTGCTGCCCTAAGGACGGTTCTATTAGCACGCAGTGCATCATTTAGCCAGGGAGCAGGAGGGGACTGACGAGCCTGCCGAGATGTCAGAGGACAGAGCGAGTCCAGAGTGGATGAGAGAGTAGAGAGGAGAGTTTCTGCAGCAGAGTTTGGAGGCAGTAGTTGGAACGAATCAGAGGAAGGGAGGGCTGAGAGCACCGATGAGGCAAAGGTAGAGGGAGAGAGGGAGCGAAGGTTACGGCGGACAAGTGTAGGATGGGAAGAGATTAGTTTGTTATGTTTGGAAAGGGATAGAGAGAATGAAATGAAGAAGTGATCGGATGTGTGGAGCGGGTTTTGATTGTTCACAGCTGGAATCACATTAGAAGAAATGCACCATGGATCCAAATTCAAACCTGATCCTGCAGGAAGTCTCTTTAGTCGCAGCTATAAAGCCCTCTTTGACTGATTAATAAGGCAATCATATCTTTATAAAACATGGTCACTGCTGCTTATTTTATAATAACAATAATATTTAGGAGGAGACGTGGCACATCTGGAGAGCAGAAAGGGCAAAAGTACACACATGCTCAAGTAGAAGTACAGATACTGGTGTTTAAAAATACTCTGGTAAAAGTAGAAGTACTGACTAAACTTCTTTACTCAAGTAAAAGTAAAGAGGGCTTCAACATGTACTTCAGTAAAAAGTACCCATAACTAGCAGCTGTTTTAAAGAGTACCTGACCTCCCTTTATATTAATAGAACAATAATGTCATTGTTAGCTAATGAATGTTTCCATGCTGAACAACGGCAACATGACAACGTTTCCATTGGTCCCTCTTCTTTAGAGAAGACCGTTCTGCTAGATGAGGTCAGTCGATGATGGAAAAGCAGATAAATCCATGTCAGTGTTATTCTGACCTGTTAGTTACACGATGTGAATCGTTCTGTGAAGCACAGCGCCCTCCTCTGGACGCACATGCACACTGCGGTTCAAACCATTACATGTGTTCAGTGGTCAAATGTAATAAACCGGTTAAATATAAATACAGTGGGTGGACACTTGAATTTAATAAACAAAAATCTTTGTTTTTCTTAATGTACAGTATTGGTGGTGTTATACAAGAGGACCACAATGGAAATACGCCTGGAGGTTTTGTTGTATAATCATCAAATTAAATCAATCAAAGTAGACCGTTTTATAAAAGCCATTATTGCAAGATGAGACTATTTGAGACAGGTAGATATTTGTTGAAAAATTATTGCATTTCGAAACGCAAAGTCATGACTTGTGTTACACTGTGAGATAAGTCAGGATGTGTGTGTGTGTGTGCGTGTGCGTGTGTGTGTGTGTGTGTACCTGCGGAGCCAGCCTCCCCTGCCTTGTTGCGTCTGCGCCTCAGGATCACCTCCAGCTCGCTGTCCTTCTTCCCTGAAGGTAAAGACGGCCCCGACGGAACGGACGAACCCGAATCCTGGGAGCCTCGACTGGGGCTCCGCTTCACCGTCTCCTGGAGAAACACAGCGTCACGACTCTTCACTATTATTACTATTATCTATGATATGTTTCAACGAGCGCTCTGATTCAATGTACTGACACTGGTCTTATTTAAATTAACTGTACATTTCAGCATTAATATCGGTACTAAAACCACACTATTTTTCTTTAAGAGCAGCAGCTTTGGGACAAAACTAAAAAATCCAGATGCATATTCATATATATCTTTACCAGGATGCCCTTCAGCTCCTCCATGGCGCTCTCCTGAGGTTTCATAGGTTTCTCAGGTTTGTCCGGTTTCTCTGGTTTCTCTGGTTTCTCAGGTTTCTCCTCACTGATTTGAGGCGGCTGGAGAAAAGAACAAAACATAAATATAATTGTATGTTTTATTAACACACAAGTCAGAGCATGGCACACGTGCTGCATTTGAGGAACAATGGGAGGGGTGAGAGGTGGGAGATTACAGTTTGTTTATTAGCACGCATGTATGTAGCAACAAGGAATATCACATTTATGGATACACCAATATTGTAATATACACATTTTTGCAAAGAAATCCAGTTTTCTGATCATCATGCAAAGTTCCTGCTCAAAAACTGATTGCCTAAGTGCATGTACATCCTAAATACCTCATACCTAAAAATAGGATTAAAACCTCCTTTACAAATTCATTTAGTTAGTAGGAGTTTGATTATATTAGCCAAAAGTACAAGAAATATCCAGAGCACATGTAATCTACCATTTATATTTTGTTCTTTAAGGAGCAATTGTCTTAAAACCTACTTTCCCCCTAGGGATAAATAAAGTATTCTGTATAAATGCATTTCTACTGAGTGATACTACATTTTAGATTTCAAGATGTTACGAATATACTTAGTAAATAATAAAAATAATCATTAGAGATTCAGTGCCAGGGATTTTCCATAAAAGCACTCACTTTCTATGCTGAATAAATTAAATTGCGGCTTTACATAAGAAATGTTCCCTTAGGAGCGGAACAATAATCCAAAAAGCAGCCCATATGTGTGTGTGTTTGTGTGTGTGGTGTGTGTGTGTGTGTGTGTGTGTGTTTGTGTGTGTGTGTGTGTGTGTGTGTGGGTGTGTGTGTGTGTATGTGTGTGTCGCCCCCACATCACAAGATTGATGCAAAGGTCAATATACTCACTTTTACTGCTACTCTCTGTGGAGACACATGCAGAGAAAGAGAGGAGATAATCAGACAGAGTGCATCAGACTGCAGACAGGAAATATAAACCGACATGTTTACTGACCAACGTCCTGATCTTTAGGAGGACGACAAAGAAAAGACAAAAGAGGAAAACATAATAGAGTGGTGGAGTGATGACGTACCGCTAAGCTAAAGGTGGCTAATGTTGGGCTATAAAGGAACTACAGCACGGTCACATGACTTCACGTCACCACCGCTAAGCTAAATGTGGCTAATGTTGGGCTATAAAGGAACTATAGCACGGTCACATGACTTCACGTCACCACCACTAAGCTAAAGGTGGCTAATGTTGGGCTATAAAGGAACTACAGCACGGTCACATGACTTCACGTCACCACCGCTAAGCTAAGGGTGGCTAATGTTGGGCTATAAAGGAACTACAGCACGGTCACATGACTTCACGTCACCACCGCTAAGCTAAAGGTGGCTAATGTTGGGCTATAAAGGAACTACAGCACGGTCACATTACTTCACGTCACCACCGCTAAGCTAAAGGTGGCTAATGTTGGGCTATAAAGGAACTACAGCACGGTCACATGACTTCACGTCACCACCGCTAAGCTAAGGGTGGCTAATGTTGGGCTATAAAGGAACTACAGCACGGTCACATGACTTCACGTCACCACCGCTAAGCTAAAGGTGGCTAATGTTGGGCTATAAAGGAACTACAGCACGGTCACATTACTTCACGTCACCACCGCTAAGCTAAAGGTGGCTAATGTTGGGCTATAAAGGAACTACAGCACGGTCACATGACTTCACGTCACCACCGCTAAGCTAAAGGTGGCTAATGTTGCGCTTCTAAACAAAAACACGTTAAAAAAACCATTGACTTTAAGAGGAGGGAACAGGAAGTGTTAAAATGCTGACTCATTCATGGTTTATTGACTCATTCCTGCACCACTCTATCACACTAAAACAACAAAAGCTGCTTTGACATGTTTGGAAGTGGAGATTGATATTTCCTTTATCATTCTGATGTCACAGGAATATTTAACCACCTCTGTTGTCAGAGAGTGGTGACCTTTGACCTCCTCTCTATTGTTGATGCAGGGGCAGAATTAATTCATTTTAAATTATCGCCAGAAATTATATTATTGCGTTATCCATAGAAAATGCTCAATAAATTAAAAAGAAATAATGGCAATAGTGAAATTAACATTTTACTTTGTTTATTGTGCACTTTTTCCTAATTTTAGTGATTATTAACAAACACTCATTGGCTCATATATCTGAAAAGACAATATAATGAAGGCCTAGTTGATTCTTTTGTGAGGGCTATTGTCAGAAAGTCAGATATAGATTACAAAAAAATCTGTATTGTGACAATAATACTTTATCAAATGCTATTTTCTGAAGGCCACTACAGGTTAATTCTGGGTATCTGTGACTTATAGATTTGTTTCAAATGCTATTTTATGATCAGAAAACTCCTAAAATATAGTTTTTTTTTAAATAAATAAAAGCAGCTTCCTCTTGAAATCCCCTCAGTGTTTCCGTCTCTTCCTCACCTTGCTCTCCTGACTCTTGACGGACCGCAGCACAACGCCATGTTTGATCCTCTCCATCATCTCGTTCACCGCCTTCGCCTTCACGTCGTCACCCTCGCCTTCTGGAGTAAAGAAACCTCAACGATTTTAGTTTTAATACGGTATATAATCAGGTTTGGGGAGGTAATGGATGACAGGTGATGGGATTCTGTCATCAGGATACAAATGAAGGTTACTGTATTCCCTCACAGATACATACAAATAGATGCAATGGGATTATTAAATTACTGGCAGGACTACAATGTTAGGAACAAGCTAAAAAAAGAGCTAACGTAAGCTAGCTAACTAGTTATATAGATAGTGAATGTAAAAGGGGAACATTAAGCATTTATACTATGGTAAAAAATGCTTAATTTACGACTTTAGAGTCAAAACTGCTCAAAGATTGTAGGTCAACCCTTTGAGGAACTCGATAAATCAGTCTTAAACATAATTAAAAATGAACAATACCTCTGTTAGCATCAAATTGGAGATACAGGGTCAATCTTACAATTAGATAAAAAGTTAAATCCCAAATCAAATGTACGTTAAAGGGTCTTGAACATATTGTCTTCAGTGATCCTGATGTTATGTTAAATGTCTGTTTCTCGTCTTAATATCTGTCCTTGTTGATGTTTCAAATGGAGCTGCAGTGGACCAGGAACATTTCAGACTTGATCAGACAGTAAGCTATCATTCTATCTTAATCTTTAGAGGTATAACAACATAACTTTCTTATTGAGCCATGTTCATGCTCAACTCTGACTGCTTTTTGCACATTTTTGCACACATGTCTGCACAGCCCTCCATTTTAAAATAGAATTGACTGTAGCCATATACTCATTATCCCATTTTAGCTTGTAAGGTTATTTGTATAGTTACTTTGAAATATGGTGTAAATACCTTTTTTTATGCTAAATTATTTCTTAAAAATACTCGTTTGTTATTATCCTTATATATTGCTTTTTTTAAACTACTTTGCAACATATCTTTTTAGATATGTTATGTTCGCACCAGCAGATACCAAAGCAAATTCCTTGTATGTGTAAACGTACCTGGCCATAAACCTGATTCTGATTGATTGACTGGTCTTACTTTAAACTTTGTTGAACTTTAGGTGCATTGAGACTCACCTGCAGGCTGCTCTGTCTTCACGGAGGTTTTGGAGCCTTTGGATGATTTCCTCATGATGGCGATCAGAGAGCTGAGGGGCAATGAGTGAGAGTTAAATACTGAACACTGCATGTGTGTTTAAAACATATACTGCTTTAAAATCTTGATGTTTGTCTGTTTATCCAAAAATAAATACAAATAAACTCAAACTTATTTCGATTGTTGTCTTTTATTTTGATATAATGCTATAAAATGTCTCAGTCATGTTTGCCTGTCTACCCTAATAAACAGAGAATTACCAAAAATATACTACATACTGAGTGTGTGTGTCGTGATGCTGAAGGTGTGTTTGGTTGTGTTTTTGTATGTACTTTATTGATCTCAATTTGGGACTGTATAAATATATTGTTTTATTGCAGATTTATCGCTATTATTGGTGGTTTTTACTAAAGATTGAATTAAATAAATAAAATGACTTGAACAGAGAATTACAAACAATACACTGCATAATGAGTTTATATGTGTGTGTTTTAATGTGATGCAGAGTGTGTGTGTGTGTGTGTGTGTGTGTGTGTGTGTGTGTGTGTGTGTGTGTGTGTGTGTACGTGTGTGTGTGTGTGTGTGTGTGTGTGTGTGTGTGCGTGTGTGTGTGCGTGTGTGTGTGTGTTTTGAAGTGATGCAGAGCGTGTGTGTGTGTGTGTGTGTGTTTTTTGATGTGATGCAGAGTGTGTGTGTGTGTGTGTGTGTGTGTGTGTGTGTGTGTGTGTGTGTGTGTCATCCTCACCTGAGGGGGTTGCATCTGGAGGGTGGGGGTGGCGGCGGGGGAGGAGGGGGAGGAGGTGGGGGGGGAGGCGGCGGCGGCGGGGGGGCGGGAGGAGGGGCGACCCCGGGGTCAGGAGGGGGGGGAGGAGAGACGGTCGTCATGGCAACCTCCTTCTGCTGGAGCTGGTGCACTGAGGAGAGGAAGACAATCAGAAACATGACACAGTGAAATCAGGGAGAACTGTGAAATGTATTACATTTATTTATTCCAGTTTTTAAGTATTTAACACATCGGTCCTGTAACAAAATAATTTCCCAATTTTGTATTAATAAAGTATCGATCCATCTATCTATATATCTATCTATCTATCTGTCCATCTTACATATATTATTGTTGTGACAATGTGTACATGTTTACCTTGACATATATTTATTTATTCTTTTATTGCACATTTATTTTTTTCTTGTGTTTATGATCAGTTTTTTGTTTTATTTTGTTTATATTTTAATCCATATGTTTATTCCTACTACTTATGTTTGTATTAATATATGTATTCTATTTTATTAAACATTTTTATTTGCACATTTTTATTTTTGTTTCTTGCTGATTCTTTTTTTTTTTAAAACATAATTGTCCATTTTATTTACACATTTTTACTTTAACATTTAGTTTTTATTTACATAATTGTTAATCTATTTTATAGTAATTTGTACTAACTTCTCGTGTTTGTATAAAAAAATATATATTGCGCAATTATCGCCATTATCGGTGGTTTTTGATTAAAGATTGAATTAAATAAGTAAAATGTGGTGAATTTTGATAATACGGTTGTACTCAACAATGCTCTCGAGTAATTATTTTAAATATTTTGATGACAAGATTAGGAATTAATCCACTGAAATTCTATTTTGTTGCAGCTTAATCTGCAGCTGCATGTGTGCACAAATACAGGCTTTAAACAGAAAGTAACACATGTTAATAACACTGCATCACTTTGATGTACAATGTTTTTCCTGGTGCCTCCACGTTTCCCTCCAGACTGAGGACTTCCCCCGGCTCATGAAAGAGGCTTCTGTTTTTATTGTTGTCTTTTAACCGTTTCAGTTGGTGCTTTTGGCCGGACGTCATGTGACCCATTTAGACACACACAGATGCCAGTGTGCATGCCAGGAGACATGCTGCATGTTTGCCAGGTTTCCCGCAGCAGATGGGTCACACAAGTCTATTTAGGAGTCAATGGAGGAGTAAACACAGAAACCACAGAAGAAGAAGACAGCGGTGACTAAACTGTGGAAGCTAATTACTGAGTTTTAATTTCCTCATCATCTCATTAATTGTTTTATTGTTTCAGAGGGCTTTTATTTTACAATGGCACCTGACATGAAATTGTAGGAGTTTGTACAATGCTAAACAAATCTGATTTGTTCGCACTGTGTTCATGTGTAATATTTATATAAACATACGAATGTTGATAGTAGTACACTTGCCAGCCAATCAGAAACTAGTATTTTCTGTTGCTATGCGGAGTGTCCTATCACCTTTAATTCAATACCATTCAACTAAGGACCCTCTTTACCCCACCTGCTTTTTCCACTGTGTGAGTGTGTGAGTGTGTGTGTGTGTGTGTGTGTGTGTGTATGTGTGTGTGTGTGTGTGTGTGTGTGTGTGTGTGTGTGTGTGTATGTGTGTGTATGTGTTGTGTGTGTGTGTGTGTGTGTGTGTGTGTGTGTGTGTGTGTGTGTGTGTGTGTGTGTGTGTGTGTGTACCTCTGTTCTCCAGCTCCTCGTTCTTCTTCTCCTCTTCCTCCAGTCGTCCCTCCACCTCCTTCTTAGCTTCGTCCAGGAGCTCCAGCTGCATCTGAAGAGCCTCCAGCTGCTTCTTCACACAGCTCTGCTCCATCTGGGCCTCCAGACCGTCCACCTACACACACACACACACACACACACACACACACCACACACACACACACACACCACACACACACACACACACACACACACACACACACACACACACACACACACACACACACACACACACACACACACACACACACACACACACACACACACACACACACACACCACACACACACACAATGAGATTTATGTTATTTATTACTTTATTATACAAAACGTTTTTCTTTACATTTATTTAATCTTATTTTTGATTTTTTTAATGAATTTTTAAAAATGTTATTTATGTATTTAATTATTATATTATTTTTAATTATATTTAAAGCCAGAAAAGGTAAACAAGGTTGTAATCATTGACTATCTTAACTCTGTTTTTGGTCTCCACCTCCCAAAATCTGTCTCTTTAGCTTCTAAATGCTCCACTTGATCTGCCAGCTAGTTTGTAGCTGTGTCCATCTGCATCTTCCTGTATAATACAGTACGTTTTAGAGCTTTCTCTCTTCTGAAAGTTCACCTTCTGCTGATGCTGCAGTCGCTCCTCCTCCAGAGTTTTGGAGACGGCAGCGACGTCCTCCAGAGCTTTGAGGAGCTGAATACTGGGCTCTGAACTCTGGAGGAGGAGCATACTCTGTCTGTTCGCCTCCTTCTGTTTCACCAACATCTGAGGAGGAGGAGGAGGAGGAGGAGGAGGAGGAGGAGGAGGAGGAGGAGGAGGAGGAGGAGGAGGAGAGAAACAAGGAGGGAGTTAGGAATGAAACCCATCTTCTACATGTTTTCCCATAACACACAGGTTGGTGGATCCTGCAGGCCCTTCACTTTTCAGGTCAGTACCCATCAGATTCAGATTCCATAAGACACACATATATTAACACACACACACACACACACACACACACTAATTAGCAGGTCAGTGTTTAACATAATTGAGGCTAACAGCAAACAGCTTTTCGATTCAATGGAAGACATTTCTTCCATCGTCAGACTTCAGAAAAGTGAGGAGAGTGAGTCCTTGAATAAGACTTTTGTTCACATGTTAATCACATCAGACATTACTGAAATGTGGCCTCTGCAAATCAGCTGACGTCACATTTACATTGTTTTCAGACTGTTATCGGTGCAAACACTTGATACTTAGCAGGTTCCTCTTTAGACCCCATTTACACGCAAACGCATACGAAACGCAAACGAATACGATATCAAAAAAGTCTTCCGTTCACACGAGACCGCGCAGGAGCGCTGGAGACGCTGTAGTACATATGCCGGGCCTGTAAGTGGTGCTGTACTTCCACACGAGACCCTAGGAGGAGATGCAGGTGATAAGGTGGGGGACCTTATCACCTGAATCTCCTCTAGAGCAGTGATTCTCAAATGGGGGTACGCGGACCCCTGGGGGTACGTTGGGGTACTGCAGGGGGTACGTGAGATTTAAAAAAAATGTTTTTCAAAAAAAGGTTAATTAAAATAATAATCTTAATAAAATAAGTTAAATAAAAAACACAATTGTTTATAAAACATTCCTAGAACCACCAAGGGGTTCCTCATATAAACATGTAAAATGTGTGTATTGTATTTTATAGTTTTTCACAATAACATATTACTTAAATTTATAAATCAATCTGTTATGTTATTTTTTTTCATGCATAAAATGAAAATATCCTTAGTTTGTAGTAATGCATACCACGAAGGAGTTAATACATCACACACTGAGAGAACATCACTATATTGTAATTATTTTTAGGCTTTTTTGATCAAAGATGTTCGGGATCGGTCAGGGGCTACTTGGCTGAGAAAATGTTTCAAAGGGGGTACATTACTGAAAAATCTTTGAGAAGCACTGGCCTAGAGCACCATTGAGTTATTTGTAACCAAATGTCTCTCAGAGGGGCGTGGGGAGGGGCTCCTTATTTTCATCTAAAGTAACAGACAGAGAATCAGCACTTTAGAAACAGGGCTGAAACAGAGGGGATTATGGGTAATGCTGCGATGATCTGTTTGGGGTTTCAGCCAATCAGAGACAGGCTCTGGATATATCTGAGACCTGTGATATATTGATGAAGAACAGTATAACAGGGGACCTTTAAAGGACACTGACCATTGGACCTTCAGGTGTACATAAACATGAATAATGGTGCCGTGTGTAAATGGGACACTGTTTTGTTAGCTAGCTTAGCATCATGTTTCTGTGATGGTTTCTTTACCTCGTGTGCGTACGTCTCAGCTTTGCCTCTCAGACTCTGCTCCAGGTCGAGCTGCTCCTTCATCCCGTCGTACTCCTGAGTCGCCATCATGGAGACTACGGGAGCAGAGAGAGAGAACATCAGGATGGACAGCGGAAACGTCTAAATGCAAAGCTAGTTATTTTCCATTTTAGTCCAGAGAGAGAGTTCTAGTTTTAGAGCTATTCTCTGGATAATCATTCACTTTGCATTCAGTCTGAACACCATTAAAATCACCCCTACTATGCGTATATATAACTGTAGGTACAACATGCTAAATAAAATAAGGTTGTCCATATCAGACTATATTGTTTTGAAGTATTTAAAGCTCTGTATCCTCAGCCTCTGTTTAAACATATGATAATAATACAAGATTAAATGTATTATAGCGCCTTTCGAGGGACCCAAGGCCTTTACATGGTGTCAACAAACAAACAAGTTTGGCAAATACTAAAGTAACAATTAAATACATAGATTCAGTTTAATCTCAGTTGTCTCTAATGTGTCAGACTCACCTCTGTTGAATCTCTTGATGGTTTTACGCTGCTGGTCGACAGTTTCACGAAGCTCCTTCATCTCCGCCTGATCGTTCTCTGACTGCAAAGAGAATTAAATACAATCAGGCACTAGTATGCACCTTAAAGAAGAAGAGGAAGATGAAGATGAAGATATGAATTGATATTGCTTCGTCCTCACCTGTGAAGTCAGCTCTTCTATCCGTTTCTGCTGTTCATGAACCTGACACACGAAATTCTTCTTCTCGTCCAACAACGTGTTCACCGTCTCCCTCAGTTCTGAAGACAATCAGAACAGTAACGGTTATTTTTTTGTATTAAGCCTTTGATCTGTTTCTGTAACTGAGTCGATATAACTCCACGTGTCGTACCTTTAATCTGCTGCTGGTACTGGGTGAAGTTGTCGGGGCTGGTGTCTGCGCTGTCGGCCTCGATGGAGGGAGCGAGCTCCTCCAAACTGGTCCGAGACGACAAACTCAGGTACTTAAACTTCCTGTTCTCACAGTTCAGCTGGAGGGCAAAGGTCACAGGGGTCAATGGAAATATAATGAAAGCAATACATATTGATGAGCTGTTTTGATTGAAGGTAGGCCTATCACAAATATTAGCATCGCAAGGACTTGTTTTATTCAGCAGGATTATTAAGTAAAAAGCTAATGTTGGCTATAAAGGAACTACAGCACGGTCACATGACTTCACGTCAGCACCGCTAAACTAAAGGTGGCTAATGCTGGGCTATAAAGGAACTACAGCACGGTCACATGACTTCACGCCACCACCGCTAAGCTAAAGAAGGCTAATGTTGGGCTATAAAGGAACTACAGCATGGTCACATGACTTCACGTCACCACCGCTAAGCTAAAGGTGGCTAATGCTGGGCTATAAAGGAACTACAGCACGGTCACATGACTTCAGGTCACCACTGCTAAGCTAAAGGCGGCTAATGTTTGGCTATAAAGGAACTACAGCACGGTCACATGACTTCACGTCACCACTGCTAAGCTAAAGGCGGCTAATGTTGGGCTATAAAGGAACTACAGCACGGTCACATGACTTCACGTCAGCACTGCTAAACTAAAGGTGGCTAATGCTGGGCTATAAAGGAACTACAGCACGGTCACATGACTTCAGGTCACCACTGCTAAGCTAAAGGTGGCTAATGTTGGGCTATAAAGGAACTACAGCACGGTCACATGACTTCACGTCACCACCGCTAAGCTAAAGGTGGCTAATGTTGACCTATAAAGGAACCACAGCACGGTCACATGACTTCACGCCACCACCGCTAAGCTAAAGAAGGCTAATGTTGACCTATAAAGGAACCACAGCACGGTCACATGACTTCACGTCACCACCGCTAAGCTAAAGGTGGCTAATGCTGGGCTATAAAGGAACTACAGCACGGTCACATGACTTCACGCCACCACCGCTAAGCTAAAGAAGGCTAATGTTGGGCTATAAAGGAACTACAGCATGGTCACATGACTTCACGTCACCACCGCTAAATTAAAGGTGGCTAATGCTGGGCTATAAAGGAACTACAGCACGGTCACATGACTTCACGTCACCACCGCTAAGCTAATGGTGGCTAATGTTGGGCGTGATGATGTTTAGTCGTCTCATTTAGACAGACGTTTTTGAATTCACTTAAGTATTTTATTTCTGAGTTTTATTACAAATAAGTAAAGATTTTAGCTCCAGAGGAAACAGTCTCAATGCAGAGTCATCCTGAGTCAGCATCCTGCTAGTGCCAGCTGAACCCCAAATTATGCTAATCCTAGTATTGATTAGTGTGTGTGTGTTTCTGACCTTTGTGGCCAGGGCCTCTGCATTCTCCCGGCACGACTTCTCGATCTCCAGCTGAGTCTGCAGAACGCTGACCTCCTCAATCACCATCTGAGACACTGAGGACACACACACACACACAAAAAAGGAAAAGGAGAGACAGGGAATTAAATGCGGGTCGAATTCAAAGATGAGAACCGCTTAAAAAGAGTTGACAAAGCTGATGCAAAACATTTAATAGAAACACTTGTTTTTTCACATAATCAGTAGAACTTTTCCACACCTAAACGGATTTAATATGTCGAATAGATAGAGAAAAATACAGACCCATTCATACATTCACACCTGCAGCATTTGAGCAAGATTTATAGGTTTTTGATTGTGGAAACCAGCTTATTTTACACTTCTGTATACACCATGAGTAAATACCAGCTCCCATCATCTGCATTAACACAGCATGAATATCAAAACCGACACAATGTGGTGACAATTTCTCTAGCAACTGTGTAATCCAGTCCTCCATTTTCTATTAAAACCCCAAACTCACAGGTTCCTTTAAATGCAGAGCTGAGATCTGCATGTTTTCTTCTTCTGTGGTGTTCTGTGTTTCTCCGTGTAAACAATGAACAGCTAAAATAAAACTCTCACAATGACCCTGAGGCTGTGAGACGCCTGCAGCTGACCAACATGCAGCTGACCAACATGTCACCAGCACTCAGCTAACCCTCGGTTATTTAAAAATGACCCAGATATGGAGACTTTGGAAAGCCAGGAGACCGGGTATGATCAAGTAGAAATGCTACCGTGTAAAAATAAACATAACACACTGTCTTTTATGAACCTCTTGGTTTTCTGCAACTTGTATTCATTCAGAAGTTCACCAGATAACTGCGATAATAGAAATGACATTGATATCTTAAAGGGGAGATATTATGCTCATTTGCAAGTACATTTTTGTTTCTTATAAACCCACTGTCCGTCTTAAAAACCCCATTCAAGCCCCCATCTCTAATAGGCACACCGTGAACTGAGATCTAATGCAAGAAATATTGCAACGGTACTTCATGTGTGTAGAAACTCAGATAAGGGAAAGTACATTCTTATTATCCTGCATCTGACATGGGAAAAATACTGAATGAGGGTTTGTCTTATTGCACAGTTTAGTTGCTGAAGCACTCCAGATATCCAAATGGTAAAAAGAAAGGGAGATTTCATGAAATGTGTCCTTTAAAATATAATTATATTTCCAATATACACACTTATGGCCTTTCTTCTCTGCAAAAAACACAATGAAAACCTGACAAAGGACAGGGAAACAAGACAAAATGAGTCCATGCCAAGTTAATCTACAACTTGCATTATTTATTCTTTTATATCTCAAGTATATTGTGTGTTGTATTGATGGAGAAGCATAGGATGGTTATTGCCGTACTGCGCTGCAGCTGTTGTTCACATGACGAATAAAGCCTTTGAATCTTTCTCTCTCCTCATTGATGGTTTGAGTTTAAGTGATGTGACCTGAGGTTGTCTTACAGCAGCAGGAAGCTCTAACATCCTGATCCATTTACACACTCCTGCTGGTCCTACAAACCTGATTATACACACACACACACACACACACACACACACACACACACACACACACACACACACACACACACTACACACACACACACACACACATCACACACACACACACACACACACACACACACACACACACACACACACACACACACACACACACATCACACACACACACACACACACACACCACACACACACACACACACACACACACACACACACACACACATCACACACACACACACACACACCACACACACACACACACACACACACACACACACACACACACACACACACACAACACACACACACACACACACACACACACACACACACACAACTCAGATAGATGTCATCTTGCTTTCCATCCAGTGCTGAAGTTCAGAACAAGAGCCGGATGCATAGAGTGCAGAAAACAAAACTGCAGCATGTTGTATGGACATAATACAATGTTTGAATATTACAATGACGAAACCTATGACGTAATCAGGATCAATGCAAGGTTACTGATTACATTTGTATACGGGTAATTAAAGTTATAACAGAATAAACATTTTAAGTATCTCTGCCCACAGATCTGCAGCCGAGAGGAGGTCGATGAGCCGTGTGGTGTGTGAGAGCCAATACATAAATAGAGTGTGTGTGAGTGTTTGAATGAGTCTCTGGCTGGGAGGGAATCACACCACGGCCCGTCCACAGACATTAAACATTGAATGAGAGATTAAAAATAGATCCAGAAGCTTCCCTCCGTCCTCCTTCTTCCTCTCTCCTCGCTTTTCTCTCTGACTCAGCCTCCCTGACAGATAAATGTTATCAAAGGTCACTTCCGAAAAACAGAAACCATATGGATTTAGAATCAGAATAACTTTATTCGTTCGAGTGACACATCGGGAATAGTTGTTAAAAGTTGTTATGTTTTCTCAACGGTACAAAGGGGATTTTAGAAGCATGACTGTCCTAATTTGTAAAAACACAAGCGTATTATTGCGATTTCTATTTACGTTTCTTGTTAGGCGGCGACCTCTAGTGGCCGTATGGTTAATATTAACAGCAAGACCGCATTTAAAGGTGGGGTAGGTACTTTTGGAGAAACCAGCTCGAGTGCGCTAGAATTTGAAAATACACAACCGGAACAAATCTGCCGCTTCCTTACAGAGCCCTTCCTCCAACACACACGAACGCACACATGACCAATGAGGGCACGAGATAAGTTTGTGCACAGATGGAAGGCTGACAGGCAGGTAGGCCATCCAGTTACTTTAGCCGGGCCGGCTCAGATGATTGGTCGTGCTTTTTACAGCGCCACGGCTTCCAGAGATGACTTTTTTGTGAAAGCACTTCAGATATTCATTGCTATCGGGATGTTAAGAGCATTCCATGGAATATAACAACAAGTGTATCTCGAGCCGGTTTCTCAAACTTACCTACCCCACCTTTAAGTAGTTACAGGTAGAAAGGTAAGGTTAGTTTTCTAGGTTTGACAAGGTTTTGTTATCACTTTCTTCCTTTATCCTATCAATCAGTGCATTTCAGAACAACAGACATAACTCTTAACTTAAATTATGTACATGTACTATACATAACGTTGTGATATGATGTGGCTTTATTGAATCTGTAAGACTGTCCTATATTGTAAAAACACTGGCGTTTGTTTACGTATCTTGTTCGGTGGCGACCTCTAGTGGCCGTAGTATTATAAACACGGTAGGAAGTAGGAGGTCATGTGATGTAGAACAAAGACCAACAAAGTATACGTAGGAAGGTACAGTGGATTTTATGCCATGACAAACACTTTGATGGCATTTCGGCAGTTGCGGATTTTCACTGTGAAAGGTTATGCTAGTTTTCTTGATTTCACAAGATTTTGTTAGCAATTTCTCACAACTAATTTCAGAATGGCTATATAAATACATATTACCTTAAATGACGCTCTGTATGTGTACTATCATGTATATAATGTCTCTTTTTTTCATTTTATGTCCTAAATTGTTAAAACACTGGCGTTTTCATTGCGATTTATATTTAGGTGTTTTGTTAGGTGGCGACCTCTAGTGGCCAACGTATTATTACTCCAGGAGGAAGTCATGTGACGTAGCATAAAGAGCAACAAAGTCGAGGAGGTCTGGGTTGTTCCGTTTGTGACTAATAACATGATGGAGTTATTTTTACACATGTAGGTTCATTTATGTAACATACTTAACTTTTCTAAGACACTTAACTTAGCCTATGTATGTAACCTAAGTTAATTAACAAACGTACTTATTTTAAGTACTAAGTTTCACCCAGGAGACCAATCACTGCATGTGTGGTGTGTAAGTAAAAAGTCATGTTACAAAACAAGTCTATTTTATTAGCTTAGCGTGTGTGTGTGTGTGTGTGTGTGTGTGTGTGTGTGTGTGTGTGTTCCCAATTTGGGACATTTTTGTAATTGCAAAATATTGTTTTATTGCACATTTATCGCCATTATTGGAGGTTTTTGATAATAAACGGCATACAGATTACTTTTTGGGGTTTCAGCGTGTGTGTGTGTTGTGATGCTGAACATGTGTGTACAGAAATATCCAGAAGGCTCAAACAAAGGCTCACACACCATTTTCCTTCCCATTCTGCCTTAAACAAAATGTAGACCAACTATTTTTCCTGCAAGCAAACGTCTTAATGTTTGCCAGAATAATGTCTGCTGTTGAAAATGTTGGAGGCTTTGAGCTGTTGGCTGCACTTAGAATAATTTCTCCATCCACAATCTGCTCCAAAATGTAATTGTGTTTTCCCTGGCTCTCGCTTCACCTTTCCACCAAGTTGGAACATTGGGTCAGTAGAGTTTCTATAATCCTGCTTAAAAACAGTTTCATAAGACTATTAAAACACCTGCACTTTTTAAAGAACAACCATAAACATCCATCTGTTTGCATTTAGCAAATTATTTATCTAATATATCATTCCATGTACTTGTGTATCGACTCTTCTTGCACTATTTATATTCTATTTGTATTAACTTGCACGTCTCAAAACATTCTCTTGCACTATTTTATCTGTTTTATGTCCCATATATATTCATGCTGTTCTGTTGGAGGAGCCTGTGACTTCAGTTCTTCTTTGCCATATCTACACTGTAGCTAATATGCACATGACAATAAAGCCTTGAAACTTGAAACTAACCTCCTTGGTGGAAGTAACAAAACAACTTCAGGTCCACATATGCATTATTTCCAAAGGCACAAGAACATAACAGAGAGCTTAAAAGCCTCCAACGGCAGGGGTGGCAAGTAGTGGAGTACAAATACTTTGTTACTGTTCTTAAGTACATTTTTCTGGTATCAGTACTTTACTCCACTACTTATTTTTCTGACGACTTTTTAGTTTGACTTCTTACATGTTGAACCCAAATACCTGTACTTTCTACTTCTTACATGTTGAACACCAATACCTGTACTTTCTACTTCTTACATGTTGAACACAAATACCTGTACTTTCTACTTCTCACATGTTGAACACAAATACCTGTACTTTCTACTTCTCACATGTTGAA